CCCCCATGCAGTGAGTGCTTTCAACCTCACGAGCGCATTAGGGAGTACATTCGCGAGATGGAGGACGACGATCTGCGTGTGCAGCCCATTGGCACGGACCGGACCGGGAACCGGTACTTTTACTATGCGCAGTTTTACCAAGAGCGCCGCGTGTACCGTCTCTCGGCCGACGCCGATGCGTCCTGGGAGCTCTGGGCCAAGGGATTGGACACTGTCACGGCGCTGCACGACGCCCTCTTGCTTGCCAAGAAGCGCGGGCGCCATGTCGCTGGCGAGACCGAGCTCCTCGACCATGTAGAAGCGATGCTCGAGATGATGCACAACGACGCCGCCGACATGAAGCGCGAAGAAGAGAAGGCGCTCAAGCGCGTACGCACTCATCTCTGCAATCTCGATACGGGTGCTATGGAGAATGATGGCGACTAGGCGATTCTCGAAGCAATGCCCCGCAAGCGCTCGGCGCGAATCCAAGTGCTCACGATGGAGAAGTTTGAAGAAGAGCAGCAAGAGCGCGACACCCGCCTGGCGCAAGAAGCCGCCGAGGAAGGTACGCAACCCATCCGAGTTCTTAGTTTTAAACGGAAGCTAGAGCGCCGACGGCAAAAGGAAGATGCTGCTGCCGCCAAGGAGAAGGAGCGCAAGCGTCTCTTAGCGGAGCAAGACCAGCGCCAGGCGATGAATACGGACCGACTAACGCGGCGCCAGAAGAAGCTCGCCGAAGAAAAGGCGTAGCCACTGGCAATCAAGTGCTGATTGAGTCATCTCTCTATCGTCTCGTTTGTCCAACGGCGACCTTCGTCCATGGCGAATGGGCCCGACGCTTGTAACGTGTCGCTCGACCCCACGACGCCACCTGTGACTCACACTACAAATCGCAGCTTCGGCACGCTACATACCGCTTCAGTGTTCAGATGGAGGAGGAGGCTTCATGGGCGCCGATACCAAAAGCATCGTCAGCCACGCTTGTTACCGGTTCTGTGTGTGCCCACGCACCGCTGTGAGAGGATGCACCCGTAGTATCGTTCGCACCCAGCCACGTTTCTGTGATTGCGTGTTCTTGACAGCAACACTGACGGCGGCAGTTCCTGAAGTATCTTGCAGCCCTGGCTCACTACTGCCCGAAAGGGCGTGAAGCCCTTACACCCTAGTCTATTATACGAAACCGTGAGGTGCTTGGCTCCAGAGCCAACGCGTATATGCGGGAATTGCCAATGGTGTTTGTGTTGCTTGATGGAGTGGGGGCGACCGTGCGTGGACTCGTCGCGTCTATGGCATTGGCTTGTGAGGGCGTATTTTTGAGCTCAAGTCACCGTCAGTTGATGTAAACAGGCGCTTCGTGGCCACCGCGCTCGGCTACTCCTCCCGATAACAACGGACGCGAGGAGGCTCTGCGCTACAAAGGCGTTTGAACATAGTCGTGCTCCTCAAGTACATTGTACTTGTGTGAGAAAACCCTTCCATCACCCGCGTGTCTATATGTGATCGTCGGCTCGCGTCGGCAAAGGGCCAAGGGCATGTTCGATATTATTTTATAGAAGCTATCGTTGCAGCGGCAATGTGCCAGGTCTTCATGAATGGCTGGGCGGCCCCAGGTGTTAACATCCGGTGCAACCAGCCGCTGTCATTCGCTAAATCAAGTACCTTTTGAAAGAGTATCTTGTTTATGCGGCGACGTTCGCCAATCAGAATCTGTCTTTTCGTTGCCGTGCGTCGATTTATGGCAATTCATAGCAGCGTCGCACGCGGGCAGTGGGTTTTATCACACAAACGTGTGGCTGGGATCTTGTCTCTGGCACAGACCAAACGCGAATTCAAAAAGTTGCTCACGCTTCCTAGCTTTTTTAAACCGTCCGCCAGGGACACGCACCCTCGACCTCAACGTCGCGATCCCTCTTCATTTGTGAACTTCTCTCGCAACCAACTCACCCCACCACCCCACCCCACCCCACCCCACCACCAATATGCCCAAGTCGCAAGCGAGCCCCCGTGATTCGATGACGGCCGTCCGCAAGTACCATGCCTTTGTGATTGCGCGGCTTTTGAACGACAGCGCATCCAAGCACCGCGTGCCTCACACGACGATTGCCAACAAGCTCGCCAAGGTCGCGCTCAAGATGGAATATCGCATCTTCAAGCTCACGCGCGGCCGCCTCTTGGACGAAAATGCCATCAAGCTCTACTTGACGCACTTGACGCAGCAGGCGCACCGTCGCCACCGCCGCCAGCTGCAGTCCGAAAAGACCGAAATGATCAAGGTCGCGTAGATCCGAGCGCAGGATCGGCGTCTCTATTTATTGACTTCGTAAATTTGAAATTGAAATAATAATAAAAAATCCCACGACGCCTCTTCGTCGATACTGCTTGGAACGAGGTCCGATGCCTCGCATTTCGATTGATGCGCTGCTCTTCGTCGAGAGATGGACACTTGCTGACGGACCGAGGGACGGCTCGACGGGAGCGTCCCTTTTATGTGTCGTAGTCGCCGCCACTTGAAGCGTTTTTCAGCGCATCTTTGACGACCACATGGTGTCGCTGACTCGATCATCTTTCGCACGCTAGACCATGTGGGCGTTATATTCGATGACGATCTTGCTCGGAAAACGACGAGGGTATCGAGGGACCTGCAATCGATTCACGACCTCCAGGACTCGTACACCAGCTCGTATGACGCTCACGCTTGTTCTTTCTGCTAGTTTGTAGATTAGGCAAGAGACAGGCAGAGACAAAAGACAAGGTACCGTACTCGGACATCACAGCGTCGACTTGCTCTTGAGCACAATGGCGTAAAATGTAATGTAGCTCATCTCATCGACGCGGCGGGCGCCCCATTCGAAGCGCGGCACTAGTCGCTTGAGGATCGTCTTGGCCGTGCGCTGAAATCCGTGCTTGAACACCACTGCGCGCGCTTCTGGCGTCATGGACGCGACGCTGGATTCGTGCGGATGCCCTGCTGCCAAGACTACCGTTTCAATCACCTTGCGGGCTTTCGAAAGCTTGCTCCGGTCGCTTGGTTTCGTCAAGTCGAACGAGCGCAGTTTCCGCAAGGGGCCGATGCCACTCGTCAAGATCCCTTGATACCACATGCACCAAAGCTGATGCACCGTGCATGCTGGCAGGACAAACTTTTCTGGCACCGGGTGGGGTCGCCCGCCCCACGAAAACGTCGGTACTGGTGGCTCTGACGTGGCGAGATCGGGATCGGAGTTACTCTCAGCAGCAATCGTGAGAAGGCAGCGCGCCGTCATGTGGTCGCGCAAGTCCGCGGTCGCTTGGGCTGATGGCTGCGCACAGCACGAGGACCCTAATTGCAGTCACTACTCGTCGTATCGCTCCCGTGGCATATTTCTACCTTGCTCTGGCACAGCCTCCTGCGTGGCTGTGCTGCCTGGTTGGCCGGTGCGAGGAGCATAGTTTTTGGTAAACGCTAAGCATGTTGCTTGCCTTCTCGATGGATTCGGTATGGGTGTAGTACCTTTAAGCGCGGCGCAAAGGTCTGGCGGTATCTCGACCTTGGCTTCCTTGTGAAGGTTGATGAGAGCGCTCGACGCGTTGCCGACGTGTGACGCCGATGTTGGCTGACGGGGCTCGAGCGGTGTCCCGCGCTTGTCGCACTTGATGGACATGAACCATAGATAGCTTGTGGCGACGCATGCCGGCAAGACGACGTTGTCGTTTTGCACGAGCGCAGCATGACGCTCTTGAAGCCATGCTAAGAGGCGCTTGTTCAGGGCATTGTAGCGCTTGATCGTCGTCGCCTCGCGACCATCAGCGTCCGTTTTGGCTGTTGACGCCGGGCTCGAAGCATTCTCCTAATAGCGAGAGAGATGCGTGGGCGAAAAGCAGAGTGATCACCGGACTGATCGCCGGATACCTGGATGGCAAGGGGTGATGCCGTCGAGGCGGTCGAGCACGGTGCAGAGGGCACTAATACTGCGGGACCCGCAGTATCTTGCATTGCGCAGCGCTTGCCGCGTACTTGGTGCGTTAGCCCGCGTGTGTTCGGCGCCGCCTCTCGCCGCTTCTTCGCCGGGCCACCACTCTCGGCCCGTTCTGTCGTCTCGTCAGAGAGCGTGGCTGACGTTCCCGCGTCAGTAGCACCGACTGCCGCTGCGCTCGCTTGTCGTTTCGCTGTTGCTTTGCTTTCGCGCGCGACCATGCTGCGTCGTCCGGATTTGTCCTGCCGTAATGAGACGTCGACCATACATTTGTCAAGTCACTTTGCGCGTTGCATGTGCACGAGGTATTATGAGACATGCATCGAATACGAAAATCAAGTCGAATCGCCGAGCCTATGCCTCCTTGCAGCAATTCTCGCGAGGGCTTGCCAGTGTACAAGTCGTCTTTAGCCTTGGCGAACATTAAAACGACGTATGCACACATCGTCATCTCTCAGGCTCTGACGCTGCCGGCGTCGATGCGAAGGACACTGAATGGTTGACGTACCGTAGGCAGTGGCGCAAGCTTTCGAAGCAGCGGCGTAACGTCGTCGTTCGATCACTTTTGTGTGGCAAGGCTGGCAAGCACGCACCTCTTTTCCCGTGCAAAGATCGGTCGCGCACGCCTCTCAACGCCAAAGTGGCAGCGATGCATCCCTCGCTTCCGAGACCCAGCTCGCCTTCATCCGAGGCTCCCCACGATCCACGATCATGATCATGGTCCTGAGCCAGTGTCGCCACCCGACACAGCTGTTGGCAACAGCATCGGGTCCCACGTCGCGGCATATCGCAGCATTCGAAGGTTCCTCAACTCCAACGAAGCTACGCCCCACTGGCCCTAAACCTCGTAGACTTGCGCTCCTCGTCGTGGACGCTGGCCGAGCACTCGGACGCTACATAAATAGCTTCAGAGTAATTAGTCGCTCGCTCGTACTCGTATCGTCGATGGCGCCTGCGACACCCATACCGCGCGTCTAGAAATTTTCTCGGCAGATGGAGGATGTTGCCGGAGCAATCGGTATATCCGGCTCTGGCGCTTGTGGAGTGTGAGTTCAGTCTTCGATTCATCTGCTTCGAGTCATGGTCCTTTGCCCGTCGACGCTTCTGGCGATGCTGCTGCC